CTGAGCCTGGATCTGCTGGAGGTTACTTCTTGTTAAAAGGGAGATTTTCCTTTCCACTGTCGCTACAAGCATGCTTAGGTTGAGGGATTGCTGAAGAGTCAATGAGTCGATGCAATCACCTGGTTTTCCTTAGATAGAAAACTTTTAATCAATCTGACTGGATGATCTGGTGAACTGGAAAGTGCCTTGAGATGACGTGTGTTGTGAACTGGTGCTATAGATATAAACTGGAATGAATTGAATTTTCTGTCATTTTATTCTCATCTTTAATAAGAATCTTCCTTTTTTCAGTTCTGATCAAACAGCTTGATTTTCTTCCAGAAATCTACTAAACTCATTCGAATGTGGTTTTCCCTGGGTGGACTGGGGGTTGACTGCATTAGAGTGGCTCTGAGAATTTGCCATTTCTCCCCAATTATAGCTGTACTGAGGATTAGAACAGTTATAATTTATGGCTGTGGGTTCGATGCTGATTATAGTTTGTGTGTCTCTTATTTTGAAAACAACCAGCAGAGGCTGGAAAGTTGTATTTCTTTCTGTCCCTGTGTTCACTTTTGCTTTGATTTCTCCCTACTGGGTTTGCTGGATCTGATTCTGGTAAGTTTTAAATAGTTAATAAAATGACTACCTGGGAGAGGTAAATAGGAACCAACGCTCCAGGCTTGTTCTCTCTAGCTCCATCAGCCTGGGTTCGAGTTCAAAGATCATGTTTTTTCTCCATTCTTGTTGTTTCCATATATTCAGACAGTGCTTTGCAAATTTAAATGATAATTCTCTCTAAATAATACCCTAAAATTGTCAGGTTAATCAAAGCTTTTTAAATGTCTCCGACAAAACAAGGACATAAAGAATGAATGATAAAGACAGACCAAATGGTTAATGAGGGGATGGGCAAACACAGGCCACATCAATCATTGTTTTGGAGCGTAGTGTTAACTCCTAAAACGGAAACAAACAATCCCAACAGAAGCATCTCGCCTCCAAATGAACACCCACAAGCCCTCCAAAGCAAAATAAATCTCCTGTTTCCAGCCCAACACTTCAGCTGAATCTCTCTATTCAAACCCAACATGGTTTGATTCAACATGTTTTACCATTTAACTTTTTATTGGTATTTTTCACTTTTTTACATATACAGTACAGATGAACATTTCACATTCAACTTAATGCAACATAAAACTTTCATTTGGGAGCTATTCCTCTATATGACCTTTGTCCCGTCTAGCTTATCTAGTTCTTTATCTTTGTCGCTGTCTTTTGTCCTGAATGTTGTCCATTTCCTCCATTTTTATTCCATTTGAGTTTGTTGAAATCTTAGATGATGTGTCAGTTTTTTTACATAATGTAGATTTCTTCTATTATTCCAGTCCATTGTTCTTGACAAGGG